TGGATAAGCTCGTTGAGTTTCCAATATGTCTACCTGATGAAAGTGCGAGCATGAGCAGAAAATTGCAAGAGTTTAGTTTTCAAAGGTTGAGACAACCTTCGAACATTGGGAGGCAGATGTTGTGTGTGAATTTTGTTGCAAGCTTGGGGGTTTCAATAGCTTGAAATTTTGTAGGTCGATGCGACCTTAAGATCACGAGATGTTGAAGCTCGACCATTCCTTACAACTATTTGACAGGTTAGAGGATAAGCCTTATCCCAAACATCTCGGAGGAGATAAGATCGCGCCGATATTCGCAAGATCTTAGCGTGCAATCACTATAATCATGGGATTGCATGCCAAATCTAATTGCAATCCTAGATTTTTCTCACTTTCCTTTGTAAAAATCTTGTATAAATACCACAACAAATCATTAAAAAGGGGTTAGCAAATTCTTTTAGGTAACATATATTCTTTTGTAAGCTCTCTAAAGCAATAAGAGAACAGTGGAAGTAGGCTCAAGTTTTAATTTGACGAACCACTTTAAAAATCGTCTTGTGTTTTTTATTTTACTAGTCATACATTATTCATTGCTGATTTTAATTAATCACGTACATATCTATTCTGATTCTAACAATGTCAATCGGATCTCTCTGATTGATGCAAATTTTCGTATCAACAAAAGGAATTGCCAATACAGTTATATGAAAACAGCAAGCATGTTTAATAAGTAAATTAAAATAGTAAAATGAATTGAGAATTTTGAAGTTTAACACTACATTATAGAATTTTCAAAATAAATTTAAAATTATATATGAAAAATAACTACCATTGTAAAGGAAATCGCAGTTGAATGGAGACGTTTAAAGTTTTGACTCTAGAATTACGCAACTCCTCACAACCATTGGAAACTTGAATCTCTTGTCAAATTAACGGAAGAAAAAAATATGCTTCCGGAAAATAAGCCAAAATTAAATATAAAGCACAGGCATAATGCACCTCTGTAAAGAGAGAATTAACAGTAGATCAGATTCAAATAAGAAACCATGAGGGTTTCTTTTTTCTTTTCTCTGCTGTTATTCGTCTCTTTTTTCTCTATTTTGCAAACACGAGCTTATTCTGGAAAACAGGCAAGCCCTATTTTTCTTTTTCCTACTTAAATTTTAATTCTATTTTATAGTAAGGATCTTGGAAATCCATTCATAAGATGGTTAACTCTATCGTGGAACCACAAAAGTATAAATCATGAGCGATAGTTGCATTGAATGATGCTCAAAAATCAAGTGAAAATACTTGACAACGCTCGACAACCATACCAGGCATGATGAACTTCAAGCAATGGTTTTTAAATGTGTTGGACTTCTTTGAGTTTAATACATATTATGATTTTCATATCTTGATATACTAATATCTTAGATTTGCTTTCTCTTTTATCATGATGGTGTTGAAGAATAAGGGTATTTTTGTTGGATGGATTTGTGTGTGGTTGGATTATGCAAGAAATTTGAAATGGGTTATATATCTTAAAATTCCTATAAAAGGTGATCATTTTGGGCAGTTGCTGTTGAAGGTTGATGCTGTGCTAGAAGTTTGGTTTGCCGATTGTATGAAAAACCTGGAAAAGCTTTGCTCTGCATGGACGTGCATAGGAGTGCTTCACGGTTCAGTGGCTTAAGATTTACTGTAATTTAATGTTAATCTTTTTATTTATTGGCTCAGCTCTTTTGTAATGAAGTTGTTAGTTTTTTGAGTGGTTTAGCTGAGATTAAGGAAAATTATTCTGATGCTTGTTGAAACAGTGAGAGGAAGTATGTTATATGCAGTTTTTGTCTAATGAAAATTTATGTCCAGTTTTAGTTTTTTATCTCTCTTCTTCTTTGAATAACCAGCATCACAAAAACGAACATGGTATCAGAGCTGAATCAACCAACTAACGTCTAACAAGTTCACTCAAAAACTCATCCCAAATCACCATCAAACTTCAGCCTTACGCAAGAACTAAAGTCTTTCAAAAACCTGCAACCAGTTTCACGCATGGCTTCTCAATCTGTGTCTCTCTCACCTCTAGTGTTCAATGGGGACCAGTATCACATTTGGGCTGTTAGAATGAGAGCCTACCTAAGAGGACAAGGGCCATGGCAATATGTGGAAGAGGAGAAACAGCCACCCCAACTTGGTCCAAACCCAACCTTGAACCAAATGAGAATGTATGAAGAGGAAATGTCCAAAGCTCCAAGAGCTCTCTCTCACATACATTCGGCAGTAACAGACCTTGTATTTACAAGGATAATGGCGTGTGAAACTGCAAAGGAGGCTTGGGATAGACTAGGAGAAGAATTCATGGGAAGTGACACAACCCGTAACATGCAAGTCATGAATCTGCGCAGGGAGTTTGAAATGCTGAGAATGCAGGAGGTAGAGAAGGTTAAAGAGTATGTAGATAGACTCATGAGTGTGGTGAACAAAATCAGATTGTTGGGAGTTGAGATGAGTGACAAGATGATAGTTGAAAAGGTGTTAGTCAGCCTTCCGGAAAGATTTGAGTCCAAGATATCTTCCTTAGAAGATTCAAAAGATCTCTCCCAAATCAGCCTCACTAAACTGGTTCATGCCTTGCAGGCCCAAGAACAAAGAAAGTTGATGAGGCAGGAGGACTCAAATGAAGGTGCTATGTTGGCTGCTCAAAAGGGAGTGAATACGCAGGGAAGTAACAGAAGATATGTTGGGGATAAGAGAGGAAAATAGAGAGCTGGTGGACAGTGGGGAAAACAGAGTGAAGGAAGAAGTTATCCACCATGTTCCCACTGCAAAAAGAAGGACATCCGGACAGCAAGTGCTGGTTCAGGCCTGGGATTCAATGCAGGGGATGCAAACAATTTGGCCACATTGAGAAGATGTGCAGGAATAAGGCTGCACACCCACCACAGCAAGCACAAAGTGCAGATGAACAACAGCAGACCAATGAATCAGAACAGCTGTTTGTAGCTTCATGCTACTCAATGCAGACCTGTGGAAATGTTTGGCTGATAGACAGCGGATGCACTAACCACATGGCAGCAAATGTGGAGAACTTTGTTAGGCTGGACAGGACATACAGCTCTAAGGTTAGGATTGGAAATGGTGACTATGTAGAAGCAAGAGGGATTGGAGATGTGGCAGTCCAAACTAAGGCAGGAACTAAGGTTATTTCTAACGTTTTGTTTGTACCTAAAATTGCACAAAACTTGTTAAGTGTAGGTCAAATGTTAGAGAAAAACTTTACCTTGCATTTCCAAAACAATTCTTGCATTATAAAGGATAGAGAAGGAAAGGAGTTGTTAAGTGTAAGGATGCTTGACAAAAGCTTTCCACTAGACTGGAAAAAACCAGAAAACTCAGCATTAATCACCAAGGTTGAAGAGTCTGAGTTATGGCATAGAAGGCTTGGACATTTTCATTACCATGGAATCAAAGAACTCAAGTCAAGGGACATGGTATTAGACCTGCCCGAAATAGAAGAGAAAAGGACTTTGTGCAAAGCCTGCCAACTTGGCAAACTTAGCAGGCCACCATTCCCTTCGGATCAAGCCTGGAGAGCAAGTCACAAGTTACAATTGATCCACTCGAATGTTTGTGGCCCTATGAAGACAGAATCTCTAAATGGCAGCAGGTACTTTGTTCTCTTCATTGATGATTTTTCAAGGGTGGCTTGGGTCTATTTCTTGAAGCAGAAAAATGAAGTGGCTGCTGTGTTCAAACAGTTCAAGTTGCTGGTAGAGAATGAAGCTGGAACCTTGATCAAAGCAGTAAGGACAGACAATGGAACTGAGTACACCGTAAATGAGTTCAAGACAATCTGCAGCCTAGCTGGAATATAGCAGCAGTTCACAGCACCATATACCCCTCAGCAGAATGGTGTCTGTGAGAGAAGAAATAGAACCATTATGGAAATGGCCAGGTGTATGATGACTGGAAAAAGCCTCCCTAAAGTGTTCTGGGCAGAAGCTGTCAATATAGCAGTTTTCCTGCTGAATAGGCTGCCCACCAAGGCTGTCAAACATCAAACACCAATTGAGGCATGGACTGGAATCAAGCCAATAGTAGGGAACCTAAAAGAATTTGGAAGTATAGCCTATGTAATGATCCCAGCCAGCAAAAGGTCTAAGTTGGATGACAAGGCAGAAATTGGGATATTTATAGGCTACAGCAGCAACTCTAAAGCCTATAGAGTTTATGTTCCTGAGTCCAAAAGGATTGTAGTCACAAGGGACATTAAGGTTGATGAGTGTGGAGTCTGGAATTGGGAAGAACAAAGGGTTGATGTGCAGGTTGAATCAAGTCAGGATGAGAGAAGAGAGGGACTGATTCAAGAGGCAGATTCAGATGAGGAAGAAGATCATGCTGTGAGAGGAACTAGAACCTTGGCTGATGTGTATGAAAGGTGTAATACGGCAGTGGTGGAGCCAAGATGCTATTTTGATGCGCGCTCTTTTGATGCTGCAAAATCTGAGTATGGAGGGCTGCAATGCAGGAGAATGAGCATGTCAATAAGAATCAAACCTGGAAACTGGTCATAAAGCAAGGTGTGGTGAAGGGCTTTGCACAGCAACCAGGCATTGATTTTCAGAAACCTTTGCCCCGTTGCTAGGCAAGACACAATCAGGCTAGTTGGCTCTTGCAACTCAGTTAACTGGAAAATTTCAGCTGGATGTCAAGTCTGCATTCCTGAATGGATGGTTCAGAGGAGTGTATGTAGAGCAACCGAAGGCTACCAGGTTGAGGGAAAGGAGGACCATGTGTACTAGAGGAAGGATTATGGCTTGAAGCAGGCACCTGAGCCTAGTACAGCCGAATAAATGACCATTATCAGCCTTGGATATATTAGAAGTCCTAATGAACACACCCTCTACATTAGAAAACTGAAAAGGGGGCTGTGGTTTCTTTATACGTTGATGACTTGTTGGTGACAGGGAGTAATCCTGATGAATTAGACCAATTCAAGTTGGATATGCAAGCTGAATTTGAATGAAGATTTGGGATTGATGAAGTACTTCCTTGGCATGGAGATAACTCAAGCTGTTGGGGAGATTTTTGTTTGTCAACAAAGGTATGCAACCGAGCTTCTCTCAAGGTTTGGAATGGAGAACTGCAAACCAGTGAATACCCTTGGTTCCCAACTTGAAGTTAGCAAAACAGATGGTGCAGAGAGAGTGATGAAGGGAAATACAGAAGCTTAGTGGGAAGTCTGCTATATATACAGCCACCAGACCTGACCTTATGTTTACAGCAAGTTACTCTCAAGGTTTATGAGCAACCCAAGGAATTACACTTTAAAGCTGCCAAACGTGTGTTGAGGTATGTGAAAGGAACCTGCATGTTAGGCATTTGGTTCAGGAAATCCAAAAGTCTGAAGTTGATGGGGTACACTGACAGTGACTGGGGTGGATCCCTGGATGATGCAAGAAGCACCCTGGTTACGTGTTCTACCGAATGAGGTGCAATCTGTTGGCTGTCCAGGAAGCAGGAAACCGGCTCAGTCCTGCTGAAGCTGAATATGTATCTGCGCAGCCAGCTGTGAACAGGCTGTGTGGCTTAGAAGATGCTGAATGACTTAAGCAAATGCAAATGGATCTACTTTGATTTTGTGTGATAACCAGTCGGCTGTAGCAATGGCAAAGAACCCGTACTTCACGACAGAACAAAGCATATAAGATTAAATATCATGTGTTAGGGAAGCTGAACAGTGTGGAGAAGTGAACTTAGTTCACTGCCGAGGGGAAGACTAGGTTGCAGATATCATGACAAAGGCATTATGCAAATCCAAGTTTGAAGCTTGAGGCTAAAACTTGGTGTTTCCAGCCAAAGCACCAAGGTGGAGTGTTGAAGGTTGATGCTGTGCTGAAGTTTGGTTTGCGGGAAAAGCTTTGCTCTGCATGGACGTGCATGGGAGTGCTTCACGGTTCAGTGGCTTAAGATTTACTGTAATTTAATGTTAATCTTTTTATTTATTGGCTCAGCTCTTTTGTAATGAAGTTGTTAGTTTTTTGAGTGGTTTAGCTGAGATTAAGGAAAAGTATTCTGATGGTTGTTGAAACAGTGAGAGGAAGTATGTTATATGCAGTTTTTGTCTAATGAAAATTTATGTCCAGTTTTAGTTTTTTATCTCTCTTCTTCTTTGAATAACCAGCATCACAAAAACAAACAGTTGCCATTAATTTTTATTTCGTCATTTTCATTCCTTTCAAATGTGGTTGCAAGTTTGTTTAATCGATCATTATAAACTTTCAATATCATTTTTTCTTATTCATACAGGCTTACATAGTTTTTTTAGGATCATATCCCAACCGTAGAGACAATACGGCTACTGATCATGATAATGCCGTTAGGTATCATCAAGAAATTCTAGGATCATGCTTGGGAAGGTAAAGGTTTCCAAACAATTCTCTCTCTCTATATTTTTTTCAGACAGAGTTAGCAGAAACTTTATTCATTTTTTTTTCTGGAGCAGTTTGAAGAAGGCAAAAAGCTCAATCTTTTACTCGTATAACCGATTTATCAATGGCTTCGCCGCAAACCTTGCCGAAGATGAAGTACCGAAAGTCAGGAGTAAGAAGTTCATTTTCTATACATTTCTGATCTCTCTTTGTTGTACAATGTCAATGTTGACATAAAAAATTAAATAAGGCAATAAAGGATAACTTTCTTCCTTGATCTTGTATGTTTTCACACTTTCTGGTTCCAACATTATCTGAATCTATGACTATATAGATTCATAAATGACCTGAATTTTTTTGTTTAATGTAGATCACCCAAAAGTTCTATCAGTTTTCTTGAGTAAAGGAAGGAAAGTTCAGAATACAAATTCATGGGGTTTTCTTGGATTAGAGAAAGGCTCGGACATTCCTTTAAACTCGGCATGGAAGAAGGCGAGGTTTGGTGAAGATGTAATTATAGGAAACCTTGACCATGGTAGGTTTCATATCGATCCTTTAAATTTTCAAGGACTCAATCAACTCTTTTAATTTTTTTGTTAAATAGTTGAATGCTTCCTTCTCTTTTCGTCAAAATTCATTGAAGGAACCTTTACCTGAGTTAGTAATGCTTCACTTGATATGTGAATTAATTTTTAGCACGATTTGTTTACTACACCATATCAAAGAGTTTTGGTATTTATAAGATAAATTAATCTAACAAGGTAATGATACAAATGAGTCCAAATTTAAGTATGATATATGACATGCTTGTTTTTAACAATTGTGGGTCTATTTCTATATTTCAAGTCATTATCGACATAATGTAGATTGATGAGGAACATTTTTTGGAGCCTTTTTTTTTAGGGGTGGGGTGGTGGGATTTTCAGGTTATGTGCCATAGCTTTAATTGACTTCGAAGTTATTTTCAATAGTTTTTCATAATTTTATTATCCTTCACTTTTACATGTTATGCCAAAAAGGCGTTTGGCCGGAATCAAAGAGCTTCAGTGATGAAGGAATGGGTCCAGTGCCAAAGAAGTGGCGAGGAATCTGTCAGACTAACAAAAGGGATGGAATTCAATGCAACAGGTCCTTTCTCTTTTCTTCTTTCAACCAACTTTTACAATGTCAGGATTTTACTTGATGAGACTTTGCCCCCAATACATAATATCATGAGATTTTTGCATTATAAGACTCGGAGTTTTCCTCGTTATTGGTTTACTCAAAAGCCTTTTATTGGTGCATTTTGCACTTTAATTTTGAATTAGCTTCTGTTTTTGTCCTTTCTTTTGAAGGGTAAGACTCATGACACCCCTTTTTGTTTGATTGTCTAATACAAATCATACATATATCTGAAATTTGATTCAATGCAGGAAGTTGATCGGAGTAAGGTATTACAATAGAAATTATCTTCAAATGGCTCGAAGGTTCGCTCGCAGACACAATTCAACCTATGTTCCCACTCCAAAGGTTATTACTGCACGCGACTACAATGGCCATGGCACACACACTCTATCAACAACTGGTGGAAACTTTGTTCCTAATGTAAGTGTTTTTGGGCAAGGCAATGGAGTTGCGAAGGGTGGAGCACCTAGAGCTCGTGTTGCGTCATATAAGGTATGTTGGGACCCGATTGAAGGTGCGGGCGAGTGCTTTGATGCAGATCTCATGGCGACCATCGAAGCTGCAATCAGTGATGGTGTTGATATCCTTTCTGTGTCACTCGGTGGATTACCAAATGAATATATTCAAGAATCACTTTCAATCGGTTGTTTTCATGCTGTTAAAAGCGGCATTCTTGTGGTTGCTGCTGCTGGAAACTCTGGACCGGCTCCTTTAACCGTTTCAAATGTGGCTCCGTGGATGTTTACTGTTGGTGCTAGCACAACTAGTAGACAGTTTGTAAATTATATTACACTTGGCAACAAGAAGGTCATCAAGGTATTATTTCCTTCAATTAATTTTCTTTTTCCATTCAAAAATTAATATGGCTTTCGTGCACTTTAAGTCGATTCTAAATCTAAGCAACACTAATAATCCTAAATTTTTGAATTTATTTTTTGATCGATTTTTCAGGGATTTAACATTTCGGAAAAAGGTTTGGAACCTCAAAAGTTCTATCCAATGATTACTGGAGTAGATGCTAGGCTTCCTAATGCAACCGTTGAGGAAGCGTAAGTAAATTATACCATCCTTAATACTTGAAATTTCATTTCTGAAAATATTAATTCTTGAGTTTCCTGTAATGTGTTTCATCAACTTGTATTACAGCTGTGCTTGCTTCCCCGACACCCTTGATCGAACCAAAGTTCAAGGAAAAATCTTGGTTTGCCTTCGGGAAGATACGTCAGCTCTTCAATTCGGCATGTTTGTTGTCATGGCCGGAGCTTCTGGGGTTATTTTGGCCAACAGCGAAAACATGGGATACGAAATTTCAAGCGAACCTCACATTATCGCAGCTTCAATGGTCAACTCCGTAGATGCTGATTCTATATTCGCCTATATGAAATCTACCAAGTATATATCTTTCTTCCAGTTACTTCGAATTCTTCGGAATGTCCGTTTTATAGAAAGACTCATTTGTTGTGTTTATGAGTGATTTTTACAGGTCTCCAGTTGCGCAAATAAGTGAAGTAAAAACAGAATTTGATGATAACTCAACTCCATCAATGGCTCCATTTTCATCTAAGGGACCTAATAAAATTGATTCAGCTATCCTGAAGGTTTACAAAGAAATTAACCATCAATTTTTATTTATTTTTTCATTTCTTTCTTTCTTGTGTTTATGGTTTCTCAAATTTAATTTTTATTTTAGCCTGATGTTACCGCACTGGAGTGGATATAATTGCTGCTTTCAGTGGTGCAACTCCAGCAACTAAGTTGGAAGATGACAATCGTCTGGTTCCTTATCTTCCCCTATCCGGTACTTCAATGGCATGCCCTCATGTTTCTGGCATTGCCGCTCTTGTCAAAACTCTCCACCCAGACTGGAGCCCCGCTGCTATTCGATCTGCAATAATGACTACTGGTGAGACCAATCTGAAAGAAATGAGAATTACGAAAGCTGTATTTTTCTCTATTTCATTTCTTTGCCAAAAGGCTATAATATATACACATATGCAGATCAAGTCATGATCTGATAAGCAAGGAAAGAAGATAAAAAATCAACTAATTCCCTTGAAAGAAGGGATTACAAATTCCTAAATATGTGCAGTTGAGATTATCTCCAAAACTAATGTTAATCAAATCTCAACAAATCTTAACACTCCCCTTCAAGTTGGAGCATGTATATCCAACATGTTCAACTTGCTTCTTAAGTCCTTAAACACGTTTCCTCCAAGAGCTTTTGTAAAAACATCTTCCAACTACAAATGAGATGGAACAAATTCTGTAGCAATTTGACCTTCTTGTATCTTTTATATACCTCCTCCTCCAAATCACCATGGAGGAAGGCATTGGTCACATCCATTTGGACTAATGGCCATTGTTTGGTGGCAGCAATAGCAAGAAGACAGTTGTTAACTTGGCAACAGGTGCAAAAGTTTCAGTGTAATCCAAGCCTTCCTGTTGAGAAAATCCTTTGGCAACTAACCATGCTTTGTAGCGTTCAATCGTGCCATTGGAATTGTATTTGATACGATATACCCATTTGCATTTGCTACCAATGGGACGATGACCAATAGGCAAAGGAACCAAAGACCATGTCTTCTGAGTAGTAAGTGCATCAAGTTCACGTTGCATGGCCTCTTGCCATTTCGGATCTAATACAGCCTGTGCATATGAGGTTGGTTCGAGAACACTTGAGATGGCATTGACAAAGTGTTTATGATTAGAAGATAAGGAATCATATGAAATGTAGTTACTTAAAGAGTACCGAGTACCTGACTTGGTTGAAGATTTCTGGTGGGAGGTTGCATTTGATGGCATTGTACTCACTTGTCCACAATGAAAATCTTGAAGAAGAATGGATGGTTTTATGATGCTTTCACTTCTACAAGGAGGAGGGGCTGGGGATGAGAAATTTGCTGTGGAAGTGGTCTCGGGTAATGAGGCTGTAGAAGGATTTGTAAAAGGAGTTGACTCAGTAGAATATTCTTTTATTTCAGGTGGAGAAATAGTGATCGAAGGTGAGGGTGCTGTGGTATGAAAAGGAAAAATTTCCTCATGAAAAATGACATCTCGACTTGACAAAAATTGGTGGGTTTTGAGATCATATAAGCGGTAAGCTTTTTGTCCAATGGGATGGCCAACAAAAATGCATTTTCTGGCGCGAGAGTCAAATTTGTGAGTGGGGTGCAAATTTGTTGCATAACAAAGACATCCAAACACTCTCAAGTGAGAGTAAATGGGTGGCTTGTTATACAACATTTCATAGGGAGATTTGTGTTGCAGCACAGGGGTAGGAAGTCGATTGATAAGGTAGGTGGCAGTAAGCAAACTTTCTCCCCAAAATTGTAATGGAAGAATAGCATCAATTCTTAAGGCCCTACCAACGTTCAAGAGATGTTGATGCTTTCGTTCAACTACACCGTTTTGTTGAGGTGTAGATGGACAAGAGCTTTGAAATGATATGCCAAGATTGGAAAAATATTGCTTCATGGATATGAATTCTGAGCCATTATCACTACGAATACATTTAACTTGGCAATTAAATTGAGTATTAACAAAAGAAATGAAGGTTTTTAGTAACCTTGTGTTTCGGATTTGAATCGCATGAGAAATATCCATGTGAATCTAGTATAGTGATCAACAATGGTTAAAAAATAATGTGCCCTTGTATGAGTTGCAGTACGAAGAGGTCCCCAAATATCACAGTGAAGAAGATCAAAAGAATGTAAAGTTTGAATCATACTAGAAGAAAAAGGTAGCCGTGTTTGCTTAGCCAAATGGCAAGTTTCACACAAATGTTGAGAATTAAATAAAAATGAAGGAATAACATGACTCAAAAACTATGAAGGTGCCTTGGAGGGATGTCCTAACCGCTGGTGCCATTGAATATTTGGAGGGGAATCTACATGATAAGTGATAGATCTGGTAGGTGATGCAGACTTTATTGATGGCACGAAGTAGTACAAGCCATTAAATTGCTTCCCCAAACCAATCATCTTCTTTGAAGTTAGGTCCTGTAATACACAAAAAGTAGGAAAAAAATGAATAGAACAATTTAAGGTAGCAGTGAGTTGACTAAATGACAGTAAATTAACATGGAAAGAGGGAGCACAGAGTATGTTTTTAACATGCATGTGAGCTGAAAGTTGGGTGGAACCTATGCCAGTTATGGCAGAGGAGGCACCATTGGGCAAGGTTACTTGAGAAGAGAGAGGAGAGGAGATTGAAATGGATGTGGCTATGTGATTTGTGGCACCACTGTCAATGATCCAGTGACTCAAGTTTGTCTTTTGTGCAGTAAAGGAAGAACAGAAGGGGGCCGAAATACCTGTATAGTTTGCTTGGATAGATTTTTTACCATTAAAAAAGGCTTTGATTTGAGCAAGTTCCTCAGGAGTGAACTGAGGAGTAGGATCAATGAGAGGCTTGTGTGAGTCTAAAATGACTTCTGTATTAGCTTGGTAAGCAATGGTTTTTTTGCTTCGATTGGGTGGCTGAACATTTTTGCCATGTAGTTTGTGTCCAATAGGAAACCCATTGAGGAAAAAACATCGATCCACAGTGTGAGTAGTGCCTTCACAATAAGAGCAATGAAGAGGTTTTCGATTTTCTTAAGGCTTGGAATGAGTGGATGACCACTGTTTTTGTTGTCTTGAAGTCACAGGTTGTGACTCCTTGGAATTGTCATAAGTATGAATACTCATGGCATGAATAAGATCACTGCTCTTTGTTTCAGCGAGACCTCGCTGCTTTTCTTCTTCACATAAAAATGAATATGCCTTTTTGACAGTTGGTAAAGGATGCATGAGCATAATCTATCCTCGTACAGTAGAGTATGTCTCATTGAGTCCCATAAGAAATTGACCAAGCCGAATTCTTTCTTCCTTTTCTTTTAGAACTTTATTACCTTCACATGTGCATGTGATTGAGGGGCTGCAAGTGGTTAGCTCATCCCACAACATTTTCATCGTTGTATAATAAGAAAAAATGGATTCTTGATTTTGTTTCAGTTCAACAATAGATCGTTGAGTTTGATAATGATGAGAAAAATCACCTTGAGAGAATCGTTCTTCAAGGTCTGTCCAAATCTCTGAAGGAGTTTTAGCATAGAGAACACTGTGAATAAGGTCTTGACTTAGAGAATTGAATATCCAAGATAATACCATAGCATTGCAACGCTGCATAAAGAGTATTTGGGAGGCTTTTCACCTGGAGTGGTAATAGTTCCTTTGATGAATCCCAATTTGTTTTTGGCACTAAGGCTGATCAGCATCGATTGTTTCCACATGGCATAATTTGTTCCATCTAAGACTTTTGGAACAAGGATCATGCCAGGGTGATCAGAAGGGTGAAGGAACAAAGGATCTGATGAATGAATCACAGGTGTAGACATGTTTATTCAGAGTATGCGGAAATTTACAGAAGCAATAGGATCATAGCTCTGATACCATGAAAGAAATGAGAATTAAGAAAGCTGTACTTTTCTCTATTTCATTTCTTTGCCAAAAGGCTATAATATATACACATATGCCGATCAAGTCATGATCTGATAAGCAAGGAAAGAAGATAAAAACTCAACTAATTCCCTTGAAAGAAGGGATTACAAATTCCTAAATATGTGCAGTAGAGATTATCTCCAAAACTAATGTTAATCAAATCTCAACAAATCTTAACACAATCCTTGTCCATTATTTTCAAATTCAGATTCTTGTTAGATGGTGTCAATAAACACTAAAAAGACAAAATGTTAGTGATATATTGGCTTTCTTTAACGAGGACTAGATTTAAAAAAGACAGACATCTGTAGAAAAAACGGACATGTTTAATATAGTTCCAAACGTATTGATTGTACTATATTTCTATGTTTTGCAGCTACTACAAGTGACAGAAGTTGGCGTCCAATTTTAGATTACAACAAAACTGAGGCATCCCCAATTGCATATGGTGCCGGACATGTGAATCCAAATAATGCATTGGATCCTGGCCTTGTTTATGACTTGAATCCTGAAAATTACTTGAACTACTTATGTGCCCATGGATACAATGATAGCCTCTTTAGATCTTTTACAATCTCGGACAAAACTTACTCATGTCCTCAGTCATTTAGAATGGAAGACTTCAATTACCCTTCAATTTTAATTCCTAAACTCAAGGGCCCAAGCAAGAACACCCGACATCATAAGAATGTCGGTTCACCTGGAACATATAATGTGAGCTTCAAGGCACCAGCTAGAATTTCCATTTCTGTTCAACCAACTACTTTGAAGTTTGAAAAATATGGCGACGAGAAGAAATTTGAAGTGACGTTTAATCTTGTGGGTAATACTACTGCTAATCAGGACTATGCTTTTGGGGAACTGACATGGTCCGATGGCACTCATTCTGTAAGGACTCCTATTGTAGTGAATCTATAGATTGAAGAAATTTCATAGGTTTCAATCTCATGAAGAAAGGCAAATTATTTGATGTAATGACATCTATAGTGACTATCAAAAGTCATACAATTTTTTTAATTAATTTCATACATAAACAGGTTCTCTTTTTTTACTAGTATCATGTCTTAGAAAATATCAATTTATGACAATTTGCTTCCATCATCAAAATCCAAAAGAGTTGAATAGTTTTATGTAACCTTCTCTGAGTTGTTGTAGGACATAAATTCAACTGTTTTAGTAACAAAAAGTATAAAGTTATTTATGCCTCTCACCATATTTATGGATGCCAATCAAGTTATAACTAAAATCTGATACTTTTTGTTACTAAAACAGTTGTAACAAAAAGTATCTGAAGTGTCCTCTGAAGTGTTATAACTTGGGAACAAAACAGTTGAATATGGATGTCCTCAAGTTATAACACTTCAGAGGACACTTCAGATACTTTTTGTTACAAATGTTTTAGTAACTTCTCTAAACAGAGTAGAAAAACAGAGGACATAAATTCAACTGTTTTATTCTTTGTTCCTCTATTTTTCTACTCTGTTTATGCAGAAAGTCCTCTGCCTGTTACCATATTCATGTATGCCAATCAACTTGAGAGTTGAAATTACAGCTGATTATTGATAAATTAATGGTTTGTATATATACAATTAACGGCTGATGAATTCATTGCACGTTTTTTTTTTTTTTTTTTTTTTTTTTTTTCTTTTTACAAAGTCAGAAACAACAAAAGCTTTACTTGAGAGTTCTTAATTGGCCTTAAAAAGAATTAAAATTTCAGTGCTTTGGGTACCGGTTCCTCTTTCTCTTCCTCCTCAATGTTTGAGCTGAAATATCCACTGTATTGTTTCACATATTCTTTAGCACAATCTTCGTGGAATCGTAACTTAACCTCACACTTCTTCACATTGTAATTTTCTCCACCGAAATCCAAATTAACATACCCATTCTGTTTCGTCCCACATGGGGTGAACATTTGTCAGGATTACATGATCTGACATAAGACTGTTGCGTTGAAATTCTGTTACGCCTTTCAACACGTAAATATCCAGCCTCTTACCATATTCATATATGCCAATCAGCTTATAACAAACAGCCAAAGATTGGGGAGCTTTGTCAAGTTCTGGAAATGTTACCACAAGGGACACGGTAAACCCCAACTCTAGAATCTCATCTCCAGCTAGTGGTGGTAGCTCAAGAGTTATAGAAAATCCAACATTTTGGAAGATGGAATTTCATTTCCAGGGAAAGAGATACCACCTCTTGCATAATGTTTCTGTACCAAGAAAATAATTTAACTGCATATGTTAAAATATGAAATAAAAGACATCCTAAAAAGGAAATTTAGAGAATGGAAGTTATACCTTTTCCAATACGGATTTCAGCATATGCTGATCCAGTTTGAAACAGTTACCAAGGTTGATACTGCTCGCCGACAAGATTGATTCAGAATTACATAACTCCAGTGATATACAATTATATGCGTCAACACTTTGATCCTTCCATGGAGGCTTTGGTAAGTTTTTAAGCCTCTCACAATAGCTTATGTCCAGAGAAGACAATAAAGAAAGTTGTTGGATGCTTGATGGTATCCATTCAAAATTATTTCTACTTAGACTTAATCTTCGTAGAGAGAATAACTGGTTGAGACCGTTAGGTAACCTCGTGATTTGACAATCAGATAAATCTAGATATTCTAGAGAGCTCAACTCTGATAAAAAAATGCCATACTAAATCCACCAGCAGATCTTCATGAAAGAATAGAGAGTAATACGAAATCATAAATAGTAAACACACACAAACCACAAACAGTAAAGAGAAAGAAGAAATACACGTGATTTTACCTTGGTCACCTAATTAACAGGCTATGTCCAACAAAGTCATTATTATTACAATACTGCCTCACCTCTCTCATTTATAATGAATGTAATTTGCCTTATGATTTGCTATCACTCATACAAGAGAAAAGTATGTTTATATACTAGGTTTAAAAGACTAAAACTTAGTATTACAGGGATTTCTATTCCTAAGCCCAAACCCAATAATGAATTAATAACTTAAAGAAATCCTTCAGCGGCTCTTCATGGAAAAGGCCCAAACCGCCTACGCTTAGGGGGTTTTGTGTGGCCCCTTATTGTTGAAGTAGGATCCCCTTGAATGCGTCTACATGGCCCCTTATTGTTGAAGTGGTCGACAACTCCAACATTCTCCCACTTGGCGAATACTTCACATACTGCAAGCCTACCTCATCAACACACCATGTAAACTTTTCTCAGCTTACAGCCTTGGTCAGACAATCTGCAGCATTGACAAGTATATCAACCTTCTCTAACAACACCAATTTTTCCTCCACCTTTTGCTTGATGAAATGGTATTGTATATCAATGTGTTTTGACCGCGAATGAAAGGCGAGATTCTTGGCTAAATAAATAGCCCCTTGATTGTCACACCCTATCTTCATAGCATCAAGCTCTAAACTCAATCTTCGAAGCCACATAGCTTCCTCGCCAGCATGTATTAGTGCCATGTATTTTGCCTCAGTCGAGGACAAAGCCACAATACTTTGTCTTTTACTCATCCAACTGACTGTAGCACCAAATAAAGAGAATACATACTCACTGTAGAACGCCTACTGTCAAGATCACCTCCCCAATCAGCATCCACAAATCCTATCACATGTAGCTCATCCCCAGTCGCCATGCCCCCATAACATAATGCTAAATCCGAGGTCTGTTGTGACTATTTCGCACGCTAGCAAGTGCATTAGTCGACAAGTAATAAAGTGATGAATAAAGTGTCGGATCCTACAATGACTAAATGCTAAATAGACAAATAAATTGACTAATCTTAATTGTTATTGGAGATAACGAAATTGTTGATGTGAATTCAAAATAAAAACAAGAATTGCTAGAAATTAAAACAATTAAATAACAAAGACAAATATCACTATATAATAAAAATATTGAGGGTTTCGATTCTACCTAAACCAATGTTGACCGACATGCTATATAAAAATTAGATTCATGAAATTTATTGATAAAAAAATGGCTATATCCCTCAATTTAACACAATTGTGAAATTCATTAACGGTTAGGTTTGCTCTCGCTTAAAACCTAAACTGGCCACATAAACCTCATAAGACTCTCCCAAGTATCATATTCAATCTATGATCTATGTTATTTTAACAACCTAAAGTGATTTCGCCGCCCGGTTCATCATCACTTAAATAAAATAGTTGAACACGATGAAACCCTAATTAAAAGATTTCTAATCAAACTTCATTGCCCAGTTCATCATTCAACAAGAGCCCTAAATAAAGAAACATCAGATCCAAAAGCATTAAGCAAATCCCACAAATTCTTGTAGAACAATAAAATTCCTAAATACTTTGATAGAATTGAAAATCAAGTCAACATGGTTCGGTAGAATCTACCCCTTAACAATAAAAATCTACTCCATAATTAAAGTGATAACAATCAACATCAGTTTTGAACTCATCATCATAACAATTCAAAACTGATACATAAAAGTAGAGTAAGAGAAAACAAAATCTGAAATCTTGAAGAATTGATCTGTGGGAAGGTTTTGTGCCAACTTCTCCCGAATGTATGGTGCTAGACTCCCTCCTATGATCTCCTCCTCTTCCTTGATATGTTTTTACAAAACCCTAGCCTCCCCCAATATTGCTAAGGACCTCTCTTTTTAGTATTTAAGTTGTGATGGTATTGTGGTAAAAAGCCACACTTAAATTAAAAATACATGATAACAAATCTGATTGTCTCCCGTGCACTAATGTAACTTTCGGCTCAATTTTTAGTCATTTTCTAAGTTGAACTGGATCACGAGGAAGACATAAAAGTTATAGGAATGTCTCTTATCTTTCCACTAGTTTAAGAATTATCCCAATCTTAGGTCTACAGCTCAGGTTATGGCAAAAATACTAAAGCATGTCCAAAGACGTTTTTCTTCAGTTCGCAACGGGCTGTTCACAACTTTAATCCAAGTTTTCACCATCTTTCAGCCAGAATAAGGAAAAACCAAAAACATGGAAGTTGTAGCTCTGCTTCGTATATTTTCATAGCTTCTAAATTCAGGTCATTCTGAGTTGAAAAGCTCAAGTTACACAATTTACGCTCAACACCGTCACTTATAGAATTACGCAATTTATGCTCAAAATCATTGTTTAAGCCTGCAAAGTAAAATTAATAGAATTAAGTAGCAATTATGGCCCAAACGGTATTATAAGTATCCTATATCCTGTTGAAATTCAATACATAATCACTATGAAAAATAGGATTATCAAATATCCCCAAACTTAGATTTTGCTCCTCGAGCAACAGAAGAAATACTAAAGAATTTTAGTCAACACATACTTAAGTTTGTAAAGCTGAAAATATGATAAAATCTAGAGGATGTTCCCAGGATAAATCAAGTCAGAGTTAATATTCAAAAGCTAATAAAATCTCTTCCTGAAATCTCAATGTATGTGTTTGATTAGCCAATAAAAAATCTCATGCATGTTCTCCCAGATTAATCTATGCACACTAAATTACAAAACAACAATTTCTAAGGAAAAAAAAATTGGAGCTTCATATGCTTACTTTTCAAACCATCTCTCTACTAATGTAGACAAACACAAAAACTCAGATCAGAAGGTCTTTAAAAGCTTGTAACATAAGGCTAAGGTATTGGCTATCCAGGAAAGGAAAAGAATTTATCAAAAACAAGATAATCGAATATTTTTCACAATAAGATTTTTCATTCTCTTTTCTTCTTCTTCTTCTTTTTTTTTTTTTTTTTCAATTCTTCCATTCTTTCTCTTCTTTTTCATTTGCCACCTTTGAATTTTCTTTTTCTTCCAACCCCCAAATACAACAATTTTACCTTTTTTTTTTAATTTTTTTTTAGAACAATAGACATGAAAAAGATTCTCTTGGAAGGTATTTACTTGTTTTACGGGGTTGTATGGGTTATGTCAT